TGACTGGGTGCAAGTACCATCCTTAAAAGCACCAGGAGTAGCAACCTTACTGCTTGCTGTGCTACATGTTGCTTGCTAATGTGCAAATAGCATCCTGAATCCAGGAAAGAGGTTGCCCCACCTAAGCAAAAACCTTACTCCCAAGTAAGCTTCTGCAAACTTAAGCCGGTGCACCTTAAGTCCAGCTTTTGTGTGTGTGTGTGTGTGTGTGTGTGTGTGTGTGTGTGTTACAGCCCGTTGGATGAAGTCTCTTTCCACTGCGTGGGATATAATCTCCTCTGGAAGAACCGCATATAAGAGAGTTCGGTGTAACTTACTCTCGGGTCAAGGTGCGGACCCAGATGTGCATTTTGAAAAGTGTGTGTGTGTGTGTGTGTGTGTGGGTGTGTGTAGGGAGGGGAGATAATTTATTTCCGAGGAGATGGTGAGAGAGATCAAGCGGCGGAAAGGAGGAGGGAAATGGCTTTATTTTAAAAAGGGGTTTTTTTTTGGGGGGGGGGAAAGTTACCCGAATTTTACAGGTATGCAAACCGGGATGGGTGGGGTAAGAGAGCCCCAACAGGTCTCCTCGTCTTAAGAGATGCGGGGAGAGGGGGGTGACCCTATCAACGGCGGGACGGTAACTCCCCTCCACCCTTTTCCCCAATTTATTTCATCAAATGAAATAAATAAAAGTCTCCGCGTCCTACCCAACGGGCAAAGCCGGAGAAATTATGGGGAGGGGACGCGGTTAGTATAAAAGGCGTGGAAGCAAGGACACCCTCCTCCTCCCAGTCCTGCCTGCCTCAACTCCCCCCCCCCAGCCCCTCGCTATTTCCCCGACACCTTTTTGGAGGGGGGGAAGAGGGGGGGTCGCAAGCTTACCTTAGCGGCTTCATGAGCCTTTCCACCTGGCGGGGAGGGAAGGTGAGGCTTAAGCGGGCATCCGCGGAGGGTCCTTCTATGCAAAGACACGAGGGGGGTGGTGGAGAGAGGAGGAGGAAGAGGAGGAGGAGGAAGGGGGCAGTGAGCAGAATTGTCCGCAATGGAGTCACCCCCTCCCTGTAGAGTTAAGGACTGGCGGCGCCCTTCCTCTCCCACCCGCGTCCCCCTTCCCCTTTTCAGCAGCTGGGGGACTCCGCGCCCACCCCGCTCGCCGTCTTCGGCTCCAGCTGCATCTCCGCCAAAGGACCCGCTGGAAACCCAACCGCCTCGGGGAGAGAGATGGAGCGCTTTCTTTCCCCCCCGGGCGATGCCAGCCTTGCCTCCGCCTTTCTGGGGGCGGCGGGGGTGGGGTGGGGGAGCTGGAGAAGCAGCGTCTGCCTGTACAAGGGAAAGGGGTGTGCGGAGAGCCCCAATAACTGCAGCTGGGGAAATGCAGCTGGGGGAGGGGGAGGATGGAGTAAAGGAAGGTGGGAATAGATGTTTCCCCCTCTGGGGGGGCTAGTTTTCACTTTAACCTTTCAGGGATGAATAGCAATTAGAGTTATATACCGCTTGGCAGTGCTTTTGCAGCCCTCTCTAAGCAGTTGACAGAGTCAGCGTATTGCCCCCAACAATCCGGGTCCTCCTTTTATAGGCCTAGGAAGGATGGAAAGCTGAGAAAGGTCAGGATCGAACTCATGGCAGTGGGAATGCAGAGTTAGCCTGCATTCTAACCACTGCACCAGATGCCTCCTTAAGAAGCAGAGGCATTTTACTGAGGACTAGGAACACACCTCTTCCTTTTCCTTCAATAGGAAGCCATAGATGCCTGTGCAAGGAGTGGGGCAGAAAGTTCTTTATTGCCTCTGTAATCACTCTTTGGGGGTAATCAATCAATCAGAATAGAGCTTGAAGGGACCTTGGAAGTCTTCTAGTCCAACCCTCTGCTCAAGCAGGAGATCCGATACCATTTCAGACAAGTGTCTATCCAGTCCTTTCTTAAAAACCTGCAGTGATGGGAGCACCTACAACTTCTGAAGGCAAAGCTGTATCACTGTTGTCCTCATTGTTAGGAAGTTTCTTCTTAATTCCAGGTTGTTTAAGCTGCCTCGATGTGTTGCACAGCAAATAGGTGCTTTTTCAATTAATTGAAAATTTAGCTGTCTGTCCTTCTATCTGTCATCCATCTATCTATCTATCTATCTATCTATCTATCTATCTATCTATCTATCTATCTATCTATCTATCTATCTA